GGTCGGGGCCTCCTGGAGCTGACTCCATGTTTTTTCCCAATGTAGAGATCGCTGGAGATGGCGAGCTCCGAGACTCCCTCTATCTTCTGTTTTCAGAGCAACTCTATGGTACCAAAAAAAAAAAAAAAAAAAAAAAGGAGAAGGAGACCGGGGAGAGCTGGAGGGAGAGAGCTAGCAGCGGCGGGCGGGCGAGGAAGAGCGCGAGGGAGCGCGGAGTGTGTCTGGGTGGACGTGTGTGTGTGCCCGAGAGGGGACGGGAGGCGGGTCTGGCCACAGGCAGCGCTAGCGAGAGCTTCTCCAGCCGGCCCCCACACCCACATTCCCCACCCTCCAGACCCCAGACCGGGAGCCACGGACTGGCTGCCAATTTTGGGAGGTGGGGGAAAGGCGGGGAGGAGAGGAGAGCCTCTCGTGCGCCTGACCTCCACTCTCCCAGTCCAGGGGCAGAAATTAAGACCGGCGAGATGATTCTGTGCCTACTTCTGAGACTCTGGGGAACTGAGCTCGTCCCCACCCGCATCAGCCCGGGAAGAGACAGATCTATTATCCACGTTGGGGAACCGCCAGTAGCTTCCTGCAGCCCAGCCCAGCCCAGGACTGAGGAGAAACTTAAAAGGAATTAGACCTGGAATTGACACCCCAAGGAATGCCAAGGATGGGAGGACCGGGCACTTCTGATGGGAAGTCCAGTGGGTTTCCAACCTGGGTTTGATGCATGCGTGGCTAAAGCAGATTTTGTGATTTTAGAATCTCATGGATGGCCAGCTGCTGGTGTGGTTGAAAAAGATCTCTTGGGGCTCCTTTGCTGTTTCCTCCGCGAAGGGTCCAGAAACACTTGGCAGGGCAATTTCTACTGAAGAAAACTTTGGCCTGTTTGGTCCTTGACTATCTAAGGGGGATGCATCTTGTTCATGCGAGGCTGCTAACTGTCTGCTGTTCCTTTTGCTATTAATTGTACAGTTTCATCTATAAAATGTATGCTGGAGAAGCATTAATAACATCCGGGTAATAAAATTCAGATATTTAACGGCACCTAATAAGTCACATCATTGCAGGCATCACTCTATACCCACCGTTTATTGAAACACAGTGTGTTTAATAAAACTCAAGGAAAATGGAGAATTGCATCAGTGCTTGTTTGACTTCCCCCAACTCCAATATGAAGGAACAATACTAATTGGATGAGTGAAAAACATTCAGGTGGCATAGCCTGATTTCTCTGCATCAATACTCAATCCACCATTTCCTTTTGCCTGCAGAGACACAGATGAAATCAGTACATTTTAAACACATACTCCCCACCTTCCTTTCAGAAGGCTCCCTTGCTCACTCACAAATTTTGACAATAAAAATATTATTACATACTGAAGGTGGCATAAATATGTAAATTTAAGGGGTGATAATTGGGGCACATTTTGCGTTTGCTAACTTCCTGGTTTGGAAAAATGCGTTTTAAAAATAAGGAGGGAAAACCTGGGTAGATAATAGCTTAAGAAGGACCTCCACATGCCAACTTCACATGTGGTTTGTGTTACTGTTACTGATGTTGGTCTGATTTCAAATACACAATGCTATTTGCCATGGTCTGTGTGTTAATCAGCAAAACCTGTGGTCCACTCTTGGGAGTGATGTAAATGAGATGTGAACAGTCCTGGTACCTTAATCCAGTCTCTGCAAGGATCCCTGGCGTTAGCCTATCTGTCAGCACCTACGAACAATGCCATGATTGTCTCCTCCATCCCAAATCAGATGTGTGCATGTCCCTATACATTCCAGCACAGACTTCAGAGCAGCCTTCACACCATTCGCAATTGGTGAGTCTGTTAATGTTCTCCATACAATTGACCTAGCTTGTCACACTTAACTTTTCTAAGTAAACACATATATCGAAGTGCATAGTTTAGTAAGTTCCTGTGGGACCGTGGGTGTCTCAAAATACATCCACTGCCTCATATTTATTTTAGAATATTTAAAAAATACTTCTCATATTAAATTTCACCAATAATTTGGAATGCAAGTGGCTTAAAAATATCTCCTTTTTAGGTACCAGTAGCCACTTGTTAACATTTTTTTGGTTAAGTCTATTCCCCTGGGCCTTCAATTGGTTCCTAAACTGGTAATTTGCTCACCCTGGAAAGACCTTCCTGAAAATGGCCCCATGACCCTAGTCAATTAAGGTAAAATCCATAGTCCCTTCAGCAGTAAATTTCAGCTCCAAAAAGCCATTTCTCCTAACTCTCTCAAACAATTACTGCTTCTGCAATTTAAAACAATTGGGAACTCAAGTGCTTTCCCCAAGGGAAAAATAAAAGTGAGTTAGATACATTCCCAGACTGTCAATCATTGTTACTAAAGTGTAAATTACCTGGATTGTGGAAGCATTTGAAACCTGAAAAGCGCAGTGATTAGGTTTATATTTCTTTCTTTCCCTCCTGCCCCTACTCTGATTACTAATTAAGGCTTTCCAATTTTCCAAATATTTGGAAAGACGGGAGCCTTCCTTAGACTCTGCACACTGACAAAGACCAACAGTGTTTACCTAGAAATGGTTCTTTCACTTTGTACTACTGAGTTCTCTGACAGACAATGGCTTTTTAAAAAAACTATGCTTTCTAGAACAAATATGCCTGAATTCAATTTTTACAATTCCTCTCTCTCTCCCCAAATTCACCAGGACTCTCCCTACCTCCTTACAGGTGCCAGGCTCCTCTCTTAATGCTAACACTACTTTTTTCTTACCCCAAGGAAATTACTGGGAACCTCAGAGTCAGTTTTAACTCTTCTCTCTCACTCCTGCCCCTAGCTCCTCACCTCCTTACATATTTGTCAGGTGCTTGAACATCTATCTCTATAACATCTGCCCCTCCTTTCTGTGGCCACCATGCCAGTTCCAGACATTATTGCTTGCCTAAACCATGCCAGTAACCTTCCAAATAACTGGTCTTCTGTCTTACCACCATTCTAATCCATCCCAGACAGCTCCGCCAAGTTAATTACCCTGAACTACAGCTCTCATTTCCCACCATGTCACTCCCCTGCTTACAAGACTTTAACGGCTCCCCATTGCCTATCCAATTAACTACTAACTAGTCAACGTGGTATTCAAGGCTCTACCTTACTTGCTGCTGCACTCCTGCTCCAGGGATGGCAAATCAACCTCATCTCCTGAAGGGACTCCTGAGGTTGGTTGGGAAGATGTGGGGTGTGATTGACTAGTGCTGTCTCCCATGGGT